TAACTGTAGCAAATCAGGTTAAAAGTGGATAAATAAAGGATAGATATCGGGATAATAAAGGGATCCCGGTATGTATCTTTTATGTATTTATTGAACCAGTGTTATACAAAGTTAATTTTTCATTTTGTTGTTTTTTTTATTTACTATAAATTAATATACTCATATTTACATATAAGGCTATACAAAGTTAATTAGATTTTTTTCAGATCTATTAGGTAATTCTAGAAATTAAGATACTATTAGATAAAAAATTAAATAGCAAAAAAGCAAATATTTGGTACAAATAAAATTTTTTTAAAAAATTGGATTAATAGGTTATATATTAACTTTGTATAATCTAATATAATTGGCTAATAAAAATTGGTTATATAATTCAGTGCTCAATTGATTTTAATCAATCAAGTATATAAATTATATAACTGATTTTATTAGTTAATCACAAGGTCTTTATAGTAACAGGTTGCTATAAACTAATACTCTAATAAATATATAAGAAAAATAACTAATAAAATTTGACTAATAAAAATTGTTTAATAAAAATTTAAAAATATACTAATAATATTTAACTAATACTATATATTCTTGAAAATAAGCTACTCCGAAAATAAGCTACCACCTTGGTTTTGAGCAAAAAACCTAAAAATCTCTAATATCTGAAAATATGCTACCTCATGTTTTCAAACCAAAAACAATAGTAATTTTTTTATTCTAAAAATAAGCTATCTCTCAAATCCATACAACATACAATTATACAATCTTTATTAGTGAATAAACAAGTTTCCAGTAATACTTATTATTTTCTTGATGGGAAAATAACAAGCATTACTTGAAAACTTGTTTTTTTTTCACTGTCACAATATTATGCTATTACATATTTCCTAAATGAGGATTTATATATGTATATTGTGAGAGAGTAGATCATTGCTTGTAATAGACTTTACTATCTTTACTATTTTGGGTAGATTTCAACTATACTAGGATGTAAATTTGGATCGTTATTCCAAGCTTCGCAATAAATTCAATCAGTGTCCCTTTAATAGGTGTTTCTCATTTTTTATTAAATTTTGCATCTTGCAGAATAGTCAATTTGAGTCTAATTCAAATATATATATTAAGCGATATTCTTGTGAATAGAATCAGACAGATTTTTAGGACTTTTGGATTGTTAAGTTTTTAGAGGATTTTGGAATAGTACTCTAGATAGTATTTCTTGGATTTAATAGAAATAGAAGAAAATTGGTTGATTAGTTAAAGGTCTTGGTTACTTTTAGTAGCTTGAATATATATAATAAATATTTGGTTTATTTCTTTTAATACTTATGACCCTAAGCTAAATTGGCAACAGTATAAGAAAGGCTCTTCTCTGGTCGTAACAGTAAACCACTTGATAACCTTCAGCCCATTTATATGAAGAGTCTTCGAGATATTTTGAATCAAAAAACACAGGTCTCACCAGAAATAGATTTAGAGTTATTCTCTAATGATTTAGATATGCCAAAATCTATAATCATTAATTTATCATCATGTACTAATATATTCTTATTATGAAGATTATGATGATCAATATTTGCATTGTATAAACAATTAATCCTACTAGAAATATCTTTTGCTATTCTAATTTAGTTTCACAATATAATTCTGAAAAATGATTTCTTAAATAGTTATGAAAGTTACCATTATTAGCGAATTAAAGAATCATATAATATTTTTTGGTATTCAAATCTTGTATGATTTCAAAGAATCATACTATATTATTATGATATGCAACCATTGAAAGATTTTAATTTCTTTGATAATATATTTCGCGAAATCTCATTATTATCACAATCTAAACTTTTTATAGCTATAATTTCAACATCTCTTAAAAAAGCACTATATACAGTGCCAAACCCTTCTCTACTAATTTTTTTCCAATCCTGAAAAGAATTATACTTAAATGATTTTATGTATCTTTGTTCAATGAATAGCTTGCCAATGAAATAACTAAGCATTTATTATTACAAGATCAGATATTAGACACATTCCAGTGCTAATAGATTATTGTGAGATCAGATGGCTTTGTGGATCACATGCTTAAATTGTAGATTTAGCCTTTTATAGGCTATAATGAATGTTGTACTGTTCTCATTGTATTAGGTTTTTCATGATTTAGTTTATGATCATATATGTGTAGTAGTGAATAAATATAAATATTAATTAGTAATAAAGTTAAGAGGTTTTTCATATGGTTCAATCATGATTTATTTAAATGCTTGTTAATTGACTATGTTTTTAGACTCTATGGCTACTGTAGTAGTATATAGACCTTTGCTAAATATGTTATAGACTCTGTGGCTAAAATGTCAGTGCAAGGACCCTTTGTTAAAATAAGCAGCATCCATATCATATTGTGACACTAATTCTCTTCTTAGCTATAAAAGGTTTTCTTAGTGGTTTCTTAGTGATCTTGGATTATTAAGTAGTTACAGTGGCAAAGCAGTATGTAGGCAGATATAGAGAACTTGTAACAGTAGCATTGGCTTAGAAATTTATGTAATTGTAATAGATAAAGCTTGAATCGATAGTGAATAGATTTCTATATATTTTTTAATTGTCTTTAATAAAGTTATTTGATTGAGGGTGTGGCAACATAGTGCAGTTGGCAAGTTGTCACCCCCAAATAGCAGGTCTAGGGTTCAAATCCCACTGGCGACGATTTTGAAAAATTAAGATTTGTTTCGGTAACAATT